GTCCAAAATTTCTGTTGCTAAATGAGACAGTTGTTACGTGAGTTTTGCCCCATTTTATGACCTCTCTTGCCACATTTGTTAAGTGAATCACTTCAGGTGTTAGGTTTAGTCACACAGTTGTTAAATGAATCTGGCTTCCCCATTGACTTTCCTTGTCAGAAGGCCGCAAAAGGTGATTGCGTGACCCCGGGACACTGTCATAAATACATGCCAGTTGCCAGGCGTCTGAATTTTAATCACATGACCATGGGGATGCTGCAACGGTCGTATGTGTGAAAAACAGTTGTAAGTCACTGATTTCAGTGCTGTTGTAACTTCAAACAGTCACTAAATGAATGGTTGTAAGTCAAGGGCTACCTGTAGAGGGTAGGGTCAAAGGCTCTTTACCAAGGGCCTGATTCAACAGAGCCCTTCTTCTCCTCAATATGTATTTTTAAGAGAGAAGCATCATCGGCTAATAATTTCTAATGAATCCTTTCTGGATAGGTTTGATTACTAGATCCTGTAGACCAGAGGCCCCCAATCTTTTGGGCACCAGGGACTGGTTCTGTGGAGAGGTTTTTCCATGGACTGGAGGGTGCGTGGTTTTGTGTGCTGCCCACATCCCGTGAATGGGGCTTTGCTTGTTTGTGTGGCCCAGTTGCTGGCATGCCGCGGCCCAGTACTGGTCCATGGACCGGGGTTTGGGGACCCCTGCTGTAGACCATGAGTTGGCCCCAGGATGCTGTATTGACTATGTCTTTGGTTTGATCCCAAGGCCTTTCCAACTTATTGACGTCCTTCTCTGTCAGAATGAATGAACATTGTGCTGTAATGCACCTTCCCTCTCCTGCTGCATTTACTTAATGTGGTTGGTGAGCAGCCTTCGGAAAGAGACTAGATGCTCCAAGTCCCAAACCACTAAAGTCTCCTCCTCCTTCTCCACCGCCTCCTCTGTACCTTCCAACAGAATCCTCTGACTTCGCTTTTTTCCCTCTCTTTTGCCAGAAGATTTCCAGGCAGGGAAGAAAGAGCACAGTGGACTACTGACTGCCAGCCCCAGAAAACTGCCTCATAGGGGAAGCCCATCAGCTTCTCCTGCTGCTCCAGGTGGGAAGGGAATCTGGAGTTGGGAAGCTCTGGGGGTGGTGGGTTGGCTGAGTTCACCCGTTTCCGGAGGTGTATTTTTTAGAGGTGGGACAGGATAAACCTGGGGAGTGGAGCTGTTTACCCGTTGGCAAACATAAAAAAGTTTCCAGACTGCTTTTTTAAATATCCTGGCTCTTGACATCTCTCCTTGCTGGCTGAAGCTCCCTTCTGGTAGGTCTTGAGTGCCCTCGGCTTCTCTGCTCTCTTCTTTTCCCTGTTCCCCCTTTCCCCCTTCTGATTCCTCTATAAAAGGGGGTGGTAAGAAAAAATGAGCAATTAACTTTTCTTGGGAGACCAACTTTCTGAACTTGGATAAAACAATAATACTAGGAATCAGAGAAAATATAAAAAAGTAACGAAGGAGAGGAGAGACTTAAACTACCTGCATTTATTTACAAGTCTGGTATTTGAATAAAGGGAGCTGCTATGCAAAGTTGTTAATGAGTAGAAGGGGGCAGGTTTATAGTAATCTATAATTTAACAAAGAAAAGTTAATGGAAAGATTGTAGAGGCAAGACCATATAGACCAAGGGTCTTCAAACTTGGCCCTTTTATGACTTGTGGACTCAACTCACAGAATTCCTCAGCCAGGCCAAGTTTGAAGACCCCTAATATAGAATAATGTCCTTTTCCCCCCTTACATGTTTCTTTGGCCTATTTGCAACAGAGTGCCCGTCCCCAGCCAGGGACTGCCACTCAAAAAAGCCCCACACTAAGATGACTTAAGAAACATTTGGAAGCTGCAGCCTCAATGGTGCAGAAAGGAAAACTATGGCCAGCTATATACTCTTAGGTCATTAACAGAGCCTTTGATGTGCTTTACCACTAGAAATTCTGCTTTTTCTTTGTTGTGGTCTATTTTAAAGAACAAATTGTTGGTAGAATTGAGGCAGTCCTTAAGAGAGGATATAAAACACCCTGTCTTGTTCAAGCTGATTTGATTTGTATGTCTTTCATGAATTTGACTACTGGTTTTTTAATTATAGTTTTTGTGATCCATTAGGCTCGCACAGGACATATATTTGCTAAGGATATAAACAAGAATGTAGATAGTGATATCAAATATAAGCTGATTTTGTACATAAGGCGTTTAATTTATTATGTGGATCAGTTGCAGAGTATATTGTGTGATCTCTTTATGGTGGTTTCTAAAGATAGTGATCATATTTCCTTGGGAAAAAAATGGACAAATCTGAAAAAGGAGCAAATCTGAAAGACGTGCATAAACATAAATTCTAATTGTTTATGACTTTGTTCATAAAAGAAAATTCAATAGCAAAACCAAGAAAAACTTTTCAAAAAATAAAGAACAAATAAAGGACTGTCCTTCGTAATAAAAGGATGTAGAGTTACTGTATTTATAAACCATGCTTGAAAGTTTAGCCTGTTGTGTGAATCCAAATAATTGGATTCATTCATTAAATCAAGATTGAATAAACTATAGTTTAGCGTGATCTGGGAATGTAATCAATATACAATAGATTGAAAAGAGAGGAGGTAGTTGATTAGTCAGAGATCTTTTCGTTGGTGGATTGGTTGGTTGATTTGGAGGTAGATAGGAGGGTGGCCAATTCTTTGTTGATGCCCTGAGATGAGGCCATCAATTCAGTTAGCAACATGGGGTGGCAATTGCTGGAAGACAGGAAGGAATCTGGGAGTCACTTAGGATTTCCGGCAGGAAAGGATCATTTCTAGGTCCTGAAGGTCTCTTTTCTCTGATATTGTAACTTCCAAAACGTGGTGTGCCCCTCACTAGCATCTCCCAGAGTGTCCTGATTGTCAGAGGTGGGGAGTTGCTTGGATAATTAGCCAGATGCTCAAGGACTTGGCAGGCAACCAGGAGTGCAAAAAAGCCAGATGGTTCCAGTCCTAGCCTGCCTTTTGATGCTCATTTGTGGCCAAGAGGTATTTGGTACCACCTGGGGGGAAGATAGGCAACAATTGTGGTTTGAGAACATTCCATATTCCTGCTAAGTTGCTGCTCTGCTATTTTGCAGAAGGTCTCAGATGAATCTTAGCAACTCCAGTGAAACAATAATAGGAAGGATTTTGGGGAGCTTACGGAAGTCAGAGTAGATAGCATTGAGCTCATATGGATCAAAAGAGAAGCAGATTCATTGAAATTATAACAATCAAGATGCCTTACTCATGAAGGATTCTTACAATCCTTCTGTGGGTTGAAAGGATATGTGTAGGGAGTGGAAAGTCATAACCCTTTTCTGGCCAGCAATGTCCTTTATCAGGATCATGTTCAGATGTCCTGTACTCAAGGAGAGCCTTTGGGCCATTCAGGATCTGTACGCATGGTGAGAAGTCCCATATGTATCCTTCTATCCAAACATACATCTCCTTGGCTGCAGACTCCTGGAGGTCAGTGGGAAATGTGTTGACTGCTGCGGCAATAAGAATATTTCCTGGCCGAAATATTATTTATTTGTTTTTTTATATCCCACCTTCATTATTTTTACAAATAATTCAAGGTGGCAAACATATCCAACACACTTCCTCCTCCTATTTTCCCCACAATAGCAACTTTGTGAGGTGAGTTGGGCTGAGAGAAAGTGATTGACTCAATATCACCCAAGTGATGGCTTTCATGACTAAGACAGGACTAGAACTCATGGTCTCTTGCTTTCTAGCCTGGTGCCTTAACCATTAGACCAACTTGCTCTCTGAGAAGATATGATAATCTGAGAAGATATTTTCGCTTCTCAGAAGAGAAAATATCAATATTCTCAGATTGATGAGCTAGGAAAAGAGAACAATTTCCAGCTGGAAACAATTACAGTGGGCTGTGTGGGTTAAAAGAATAACAGAGTTGGAAGGGACCTTGGAGGTCTTCTAGTCCAACCTTCTGCTCAAGGAGACCCTATACTATTCCAGACAAGTAGCTGTCCAGTCACTTCTTAAAAGCCTCCAGTGATGGAGCACCTACAATTTCTGAAGGCAAGCTGCTCAATTGGTTAATTGTTCTCATTGTTAGGAAAAGGAAATTTCTCCTTAGTTCTAGGTTGCTTCTTTCCTTGATTAGTTTCCACCCATTGTTTCTTGTCTTCCCTTCTGGTGCTTTGGAAAATAGGTTGACCCCCCTCTTCTTTGTGGCAGCCCCTCAAATGCTGGAACATTGCTATCATGTCATCCCTAGTTCTCAGACTAAACATACCCAATTCTTGCAACTGTTCTTCATATATATTTTAGCCTCCAGACCCCTAATAATTTTTGATGCTGCTTCTGAGCACCAAATCTGAAGAATTCAGCTCAAGTGGAACCAAGAAGGGCAAAATTGGGCAATAATCTTAGGATAGAAGTCTGATGAAGTGAGAGTGAGGAAACAGGGTTTGCTTAGCTTTGGGATAAGACTGCTGAATAAGAAAAAGATAACGTTTTTCAAATACCTGAAGGAATGTCATCCAGAAGAAGACCAAGACCTGTTCTTTATTGTTTTGTAGGGCACAAGAGTAATGTTCTGAAACTGCAGAAGAGCAGATTCTATTGAAACTTAGGAAAATCTTCCTTGTAGTTTGCCAAGGTGGTGAACACCCCTTCCTTCCTTGCATGTGTTTGAGTAGGGGCTGGATAACATTTCCTGGGGATGCTTTAGTTTGGGATTCTGCATTGAGCAGGGGCTAGTATTTGATGGCATGACCAGCCCCTTCCTACTTATTTTATTCATATCTCTGTGTGCGTGCATATGCACGCACTTAGGTGTACAGGTGGAATTTTTTAACTTGTTGACAGTTTCTTGCCATGACTGTATGGGACTTCCAAGAGTGTGGATAGTTAAATCAGTACACAAGGACTGAAGCTGCTAGGTAGGAAAAGAGCCATATTTCCCAGCATCTTAAATCCTCTTTCTGCTTTTTCCTGTACAGCTTCTTGGGGCTCCTGACCCTCTGAATGCTGAGTCCCATTATGGGCGAGCATCAGACTCACATCAACAGCCTCTTCCTGAATGAGGAGACATCTAAGCAGCTTGGATCGGGGAGCCGGGTGCATCGCTTCCGCCATGCCCTGGGGAAGCGTGCAGCACATGCCAGGAAGCAAATGTACAATATCACCCGAGAGAGCGTCAAAGGCTTCTTCCAGAGAAATGCTTTTGTTCTACTCACCATCTTGGCTGTCCTGCTGGGTATGGAGAGAAAGGGCCTTTGAGAGATCAAGGCGTGGGAGGGCATGGAGGGATCTTGCAGCCATTGAACTGTGCACCTCTGTGCCTGTCTAGAGGTCCAGGTGAAATTGTAATCCCACCATTAATTAAGAAATATGAACTTCCTGCTTTCAATATGTTTTCAATGATTTTTTTGTTTGTTTGTGAACCATTTTGAACATTGTTTTAGAAAAACCAATTAAAAAGCAGTACAGTAAATACAGTAAGCTAGGCTGGATATTGCAAAGTTAACCACTTTGTTTTGAATTGGTGCATTTCCTAAGTTTAATAAAATTGGAAAGATTAGTAACTGCTTAAAAGAGAGGGTTTGGGAATCAGTTAGGAACAGAAAGGTTTTTTTCAATTGCCAGCTGGATCCTCTCCTGTGAGAGACTGTCTTTTCTGACTTTCGTTTCTTCTCCCTCTCAGTTTTGCTTTCAGGTCCCTTCACAACCCTCTTATTTACTCAATCTAATTCAGTGTTTCTCAACTTTAGTAACTTTAAGCTGCATGGACTTCAACTCCCAGAATTCTTCAGCTAGCATGCTGGCTGAGAAGTTCTGGGAATTGAAGTCCATAGAGTTTAAAGTTGCCAAGATTGAGAAGACCTGATTTAATTATTTCTCTTGATAGTGGCAAAACATTTGGAGGTAATCTGAAGGCACTTGTCCCTCATGGAAAACCCGCTTGTTATTTTCCATAGCATTCTTCAGAGTTCTTTTCCATAAGAGAAAAGGTTGCTTGTGATATAGAAACCTGAACAGGAGTTTTTGGGTAGAGTTTCTTTATCAATAATGGCAAAGCCAAGGGGACATTCCTTGAGATGCTGATGGGGTTCTATAGAGAATAGCTTGGAGGCTCAAGTGTCCCATGACCTTGCATTCATTACATTACATTATGACCTGCACATAGATTATGCTCAAGGGTAAGTATAAATTTTGTGTGTGCTCTGGGACACATTTATTTTTTCTTTTTATTTGACATGTTCTGGGCTGAGGTTTTGGTATTCTTTGCTGGTTTGGGAACTGAAATTAAAAGATCTACCACTCTTGCTTTCGAAAAGTGCTTCTTGTTGTGTTAATTGAAATTGTGTTAATTGAAAGATAAGCCCTTCTATAGAGGTGTTTCTACCATTTTTATATATACCATTGTCCCTCCCTTTGCTGGATTGGCATCTTCACTACGTTGGCATCTGACAGCTTATATGAGTGATTGTCTCCTGTAATTGGGATGTTAATGTGAATTCGTTAAAAGGTGAGCACTCCATGAGAGTTGTTGTCATTGTTTTCATAACAGTTGGCAGATCCTTCCCTTGTAGACTTGGTGGTTCACTGGGCTGGCATCTGACAGTTTAGATAAGTGATTATCTCCTACAACAGGATCTGGCTCCAAGATTGGTTGGTAGTTGGGTTTGTTTCCAGCTTGTATTGAATTGTAGCCAGTTGTATTGCAGCTGAGGCACTAGGAGGAGCAGAACTGGGAATTAACCCTTAGGCTATACAACTTCCTTTTTGCCTGTGCAAATTAGGATCTGTCATAGGCTTGACGTGTACCAACACAATCCTGTGGAGGTTTGGAAGTTGATTAACAGTGCACAGTTGGGGAAAAGCCATCTGTTTTCCAAAAACAAAAAAAAAAGAAAGAACCTCAGGAGATTAAGTAAGTTAAATAGTCATGAGTTGGTTCAGTTTGACGTGGATGGAATGTTGATTGAAACCAGGCCAATAATTCTGTTCTTTCAGATTTCTAATTTAAAAGAAAAGAAAGGAAAGCTCTTAAAGCAAAAGCAGCTGGAAGTGAACAGATTAAAATCCTTCCTTCCTTCCTTCCTTCCTTCCTTCCTTCCTTCCTTCCTTCCTTCCTTCCTTCCTTCCTCTCTCTCTCTCTCTCTCTCTTTCACTCTCTAATGTGATATAAAGTGTTACAGTTATACTTAATAGTCTTTTTTCACTCTTATTAAATGCAGTTCATTGTACACAGTAGTGTTGTAGAGAGAGAGGATGTGGAATTAGTTGAAATAGCGAAATGTAGACAAGAATGTACTTCAGGCATCCCAAATTTCATGTGTTCCAAATATACTGGGAATTTGCAGTTCCATTTGAATTGGAAGTGAGAGCTATTTCCCCAAAAGGGTGGACAAACCCAGTTTCCAGGCATGTTTTGGATTGCTTACAAACAAGATAGCTGGAATCTCAAAAGTTCACAGGCCTGGGTCATATATTAATATAGTATGTTTGGCTTGTGCAATAAATTGTGCAAATCCAACCACTCTGGTTTATTTGGGATTCATGGTTAAACAAATTACTGAATCCAGGGACATGCTGTATGCTGCTTTTATTCAGCTTTTTTGACACGAAGTCTAAGAAGTATGGGGGGGGGGAACTGGAACTCTTTATAAGAGAAACACTTTTCCTACACATTTGGGGAGTCCATAAAAGAAATCATAATAAGACTGAGTAATATTTAATATTTGTTGAAGCCAATTCCTACAACCAAAAGTGATAAACAGGGAAATATCCATCTTCAGATCCATTTATTTACTGATGGGGTGATCAGAAGCATTTCCTGTTCTGATTTCCATTTGGTTAGCTGGGAATTCTGGGAGTTGAAGTCCACACATCTTAAAGTTGCCAAGACTGAGAAACACTGATCTAGAATGACAGTAAATACAATCCTAGCCAGATGATAGCAGTGGAAAAGCAGCCTTGCTTGAGAAGGTGTCCTCTGATGAGGCCACAAGTTGGGTCTCCAGGTCTGGTGAGCCAGGCTGAGTCCACAAACTTGAACACCTGGAGAAAAAAATGGGATATCAGTGCAGGTAAATAAACTGAAAACAACTGATATAAGAAGAGCCCTGTTCTTTGTCAGTAGTAGAATTGTAACATTTTCCCTTTTTGGCCTCATGTTTTACAGGGATTACTCTGGCCCTCGCCCTGCGGCCGTATCGGATGACCTATCGCCAAATCAAATACTTCTCATTTCCTGGAGAATTGTTGATGCGAATGCTGCAGATGTTGGTTCTTCCATTAATTGTCTCTAGCCTTATCACAGGTGAATGAGCAGGATACCTGAGACTCATTGTCATAAGGTCAGATCAGCAAAGTGCTGTCCAGCTTCTGACAATCTAGTGCTACAGTAGGCTTAGAAACCACCAATACAGTTGTTTGATTTTGGGGGAGAAACCACAGGGATGAATGGTTCCCAGAACACCTAGAAAGACGGGACTCATTGATTGTTGAACTATTGTTCTGATCCTTCTCTTTCAAGAAAAGCTAGATAAGCCCTCTCTTTCTCCAGTGGCTGTAAATTTATCTTTTTGGGATTAGGAATTGTCAATTTTTTTTCTTTGGGTGTGTTCGGGGTACAAACCTAGCTAAGGTACCTTCTCTAGTTTCCATCTTTCTACTGAACAGATCACGTCAGGACTTCGTAAGTATAAAAATGCAACCCTTGGTTGGATCAAGAAGTCCATTTGATGAAGCATCCAATTTCCAAAGCAATTCTGGAGATGGCTGAGAATAAGGTCTCCTATGATCTTCCACTGCTGAACTATGACTTTTCCTCCCTTTTCAGGCATGGCGTCTTTGGACAGCAGTGCCTCTGGCAAGATGGGAGTGCGTGCTGTCATTTACTATATGATGACAACCATCATTGCCGTCTTCATTGGAATCTGTATGGTCCTCATCATACACCCAGGAAAAGGGAGCAAGAAAGGCCTCCGAGGGGAGGGCAAAATTGATCAGGTCCACGCAACTGATGCTTTCATGGACCTCATCCGGTGAGTAATTTTAAGCCAGGGCAGAATCTTCTGATGCTGGGCTGGTTATGGAAAGTATAAAATGGTTGGAAGGGGAAGCTGTCATTCATTTGTTAACTTTGAAGTGCAATGGAAGTGGCAAGGTGACCCTGAAAGTAATTTTCTAGTGCTGCCTTAGCAATGTCCTCCAGCATGAAATGAGATGTGCTTTCTTTTGCTAGTTTTGTCCAACTGAGTTCTATGGTCCCTGTTAGTGAATTGCTAAGTCAGTCAGGAGAGGTTTGTCACCTTCAGTTCTGGGCTGTTTGCATGGTGATTAGCTACAACCCAGCAGCTTAAAACCTTCAAACTGACGCTGAAAGGAGATTAACGTCCTTCTGCTTTTTCTCTTGTAGGAATATGTTTCCACCCAATCTTGTGGAAGCCTGCTTTAGACAGGTAAGAAGAGTTGATGGTCCTAATTCAACTTCCAAACCTGGGAGTTTGCTTATTTGTGACCAATTCTGAGTTATGTGCTCAGCTTTGGTAACTAAAGTAGAAACCAAACACTACAACAATATTAATAATCAACATTTTGGCATGCTTATATGTCTCTCCTATAAATAATGCATACTAAAACTCCCACCCAAGATAGTCAATGGTGAAAATGGGGAAATTGTGGCTCAAGCATTCCGTGTTCAATTCACATGACTTGCTAAGTGACCTGTATACCACTTGAGACCTTGCTCATCTGCAGAGTTTGTGAGAGTTGCTCATTTGGATGTTATTTCTCTCATAAGAGCCCGAGCTGATCCTTCCTTCTGCTTCCCTTCCAGTATAAGACTCAGTACAGTGTCCGGGTTATCAACAGAACGGTTGTGAGCAACACTTCTCCTGCGGCCATGTTGCCACAGCACCCAAATCGGGATACCAACAGCAGCGGTTTCAACTACAGTGCCACCATTGCCAGTTTGCCTCTCCTGCCACTTGAAAATGCTTTGGGAGTCTGGAATAATGTCACTAACGCTCTAGGGAGCCTCCCGGAAGTGCTGAATTTTGAGGAGGTCATCCCCGGCCCGGGCTCGGTCAACGGGGTGAATGCCCTTGGCCTCGTTGTCTTCTCCATCTGCTTTGGCCTGGTGATTGGCAACATGAAGCAAAAGGGACACGCCCTGCGGGAATTTTTTGACTGCCTCAATGAAGCCATCTTGCGGATGGTGGCAGTTATTATATGGTGAGGACAGGGTCCCTCCTAAGCTGAGCAGGGGGCAGGCTGTGATATCTTTGAAAAACAGTCTTACTCTGTGCTAATTCTGGAAAGCTGTGGTTAAACCTAGGCAAGAATAGGATCAGCTTTAAAAAATTGCTATATGTAATGTATTGATTGTAGCTTTAATCCTACCACTAGCCAGATTTTTCTAGGCAGATTCTAAAGTTTTTAGATTTTTTGCTTGGGACATAAGGCTTGCTTAATTATTGGACAGGTTGATCAAAAGCTATTAGCTCTAGGTAAGTGGAGTTTCCAGTCATCTGTCTCTGAATAGCATTTGTTGAGATCAGGGAGAAGGATATTGGATCATGTGTTGGCCACTGGGGAAACAAAAAACTGGCCCAGATAGTTTTGATGCAGCAGATGTATTCATAGAATTAGCAGTTGGCAGTTGGTAAATAAAGCTGGAAAACTATAGACTACAATTTGCTGAAGGAGAAATGAAGGAGCGCTATTACCTTCCTGCCTTACTTAGGAGCTTCCCATTAAAGTATCAAAGGCAGTAGACTAGATGACCCCCAGTTTGATGCATAGGAACAATTGCATTCTTCATCAATAATGAAGGATCTTCCCCAGCCTCGTGTCTTCCAGATGTCTTGGGATTACAACTCACAGCATTTCTAACCAGTAGGATAGTTTATTAGTTTGTTTTATTTATTACATTTATATGCTGCCCATCTCACTGTTGAAGCAACCTTGGGTGGCTAGATAAAAAAACAATTAAAATTAATGAGGATTAAATAAAACTAAAAACCAAAGGGATGGTTAGTTTAGTTGACCAAGCCTTGTGGGAATTGTAGAATCAATACATCTGAAGGGCACCAGACTGGGAAACCTGGGTAATAATGACTAATCTTTTTTTCTTAAAAGTATGCTAATTACTATAAATTTATCTGTTTTACCAGAATTGCTTGATGACCAATAAGGTTGCGTGACAACTTTGTAATTAAGCAAATATGAAACTTTAACTGGCAGGAATTTCAATTTCAGCATCGAAATTGCCTTAACTAAATCAGCATTTGCTGATCACCCAGGAGATTACAATTGGTTCTGACTGGCAGTGGACCTTGGAAGCTTGATTTACACTTGTTTGCAAATGTTTTCAAAGAAAAAAAACAAGAAAGTCCAGTTGCCTTTGGGGAAAAGAGTCTCTAGGAGAACTTGGAGACCCTTCAGCATGAAAAGCTAGTAAATCGTCAACAACCTTTTCTGAAAGCACAAAGCATTGCCTGTTTTCCAGGTCAGCTCAGAGCTGAGTTTGGGAGTTGAGCGCTATTTTGATATGTTTCATAACAGGTACGCCCCGATCGGGATCCTCTTTCTGATCGCTGGTAAGATTTTGGAGATGGAGGACCTGGCAGTGATGGGAGGCCAATTAGGCCTGTACACACTTACAGTTATTGTGGGTCTCCTGATCCATGGCCTCTGTGTCCTTCCACTCATCTACTTCATCGTCACCCGCAAAAACCCCTGGATCTTCGTGGCTGGGCTCCTGCAAGCCCTCGTTACAGCCTTGGGAACGTCTTCCAGGTGATGGTCTCTTGCAAAGGAATGGGAGAGGCAGGCAAGCCATCTGGGTACTGGTCCCAGGATTCTATGTGTGTGTGTGTGTGTGTGTGTGTGTGTGTGTTGTTTCCAAGCCTTTTTTGGAACTCACTGTTGGAAAATGTACCTCCCAGCCAAGCCAACAGTTGGGGATCTTAAGTCACAAGTAGTGTGTGTGTGTTGTGTGTCAGATTAGTTGCCAGGCCCTTTTGTTGTTCACAGTTGGAAGAAGCAGCTCTTAACAAGATGGGGAGAAGCAGGAGTTAAGGATATTGGCTTGGAAGTATAGAGAGAGAAAAGCTTTTCTTTCCTTTGGAAGCAACTGGTAAGCCCTAATTTGCTCCAGCAATCTCAATAAATTAATGGAATTAATTGTTAATGTTAGTTTTTTATTAGTTGGGTTTATGTCTGTGGTCCTAGCTTATTGTTGCTATTATTTAAATTTGTATGCTGCCTAGTCTCCAATGACTGAGTAATTCACAAGTAAAAATATTTTAACACTTGGAAAAAAATACAACAATAAAAATAGAAGAATAACATATTATAAGAATGACAAAAAACAGATAGGAATGAAAAGAAAGATATCCACACAATTCAAAGTTATTGTTGCTTCGTTGAATTGTTTTTGATCTTGTATGCGCCACAGAGTCATTTGAGAGACAGCCAGCCATATAAATGGAAATAATGAATAAATGAATATAATATTCTTCAAACTGCTTAGCAACTCTGCTCAAATTTCATCCCAGGCAACTTGCATTCCTGCTTATATGAGAGAATATAGAGGTGAATTAGCTTCTAAAAGGCCATAAAATATTCTTCATTCAGGTTGAGAACTTTTATGAGTTTGGGGTTTTCTTAAAATGGCTACTGCATCAAAGAAAAATTTACATACTAGCTATCACAGATTAAAACATATACCCCACATAGAGACACATTATCAAAATCTGGTAATTAACATTCACTCATAAAAGATTAAAAATGTAATATAAAATAGCAGAACATGGTGTTACAAGTAGAAAAATAGCAAGGATAAAATCTGTCATCCATCAAAAACATTTGGAGGTTTACATGGTTCTGATCTGGACTCAAATGGCCAGTCTAGGACAGTGTTTCCTCAATCTTGGAAACTTGAGGCTGTGTGGACTTCAACTTCCAGAATTCCCCAGCCAGTAGGAAGTCCACACAGCTTGAAGTTGCCAGGATTGAGAAAAAATGGTCTAAGGGCCTTTCTTCATTACAAAATTGAAGTATCCATTCTTCTATGAATAAGCAAAAAATATATGGATGTGAAATTTGCTTGCTATCTTGCCCCTCCTTGCAGTCATTGACAGTTCCTGAAGTCTCTCCAAGGAAATGGATGATCATGTAAAACATTTTAAATATCTTAAAGCCATTCTTGGACAATGTTGGAAGAAGGGGGAAAGACTAGTTCAGGGATAGGCAACCTTGGCTTTTTTATGACTCATGGACTTCAACTCCCAGAATTCCTGAGCCAGCCATGCTGGACTAGTTGAAGCCCAGTTCTGCTTGGGCTAGGAATGAACTTGAAGACAGCATTCATGGGGATGAGGCTGAAAAAAGAAGCTGCCACAATGTTTGTGCCATAGTTAGCTGCGAGGAGGGAAGGCCTTACTGAGCACTGAGTGTTGGGTGTCAACATAAAAAAAGCCAGATTATGGGGTCCTTGGTATTCTTTGAGTTTGGTTGTTTTCTTGTAGACATTTCATTACCAACTAAGTAACTTCATCAGTGCTAGAAGGGGAGCATAGTTTGCAAGAAAACAACCAAGCTCAGAGAGCAACAAAGGCTGCACACTTCAACTCTAAGCGACAAATGTTCCCTTCTATCAGGCCCAGTTTGCATTCATTTGAGTAGAGTCTCTCAAAGAGATCACCAAAAGCAGGCAAATCCATGTTGGAGCAGGTGCTCAGATACCAAACTAAAGGCTGTCAAAGCTTTGTGTTTGAATTAGGCTGAAAGGAGCCATCTTTTGGCCTTGTTCGCAAGTTATGAGATGTTTTGGTTTCAGCTCAGCCACACTTCCTGTCACATTCCGTTGCCTGGAAGAAAACAACAGGGTGGATAAACGAATTACCAGGTTTGTTCTGCCAGTGGGAGCAACTATCAACATGGATGGCACTGCACTTTATGAAGCTCTGGCAGCCATCTTCATTGCACAGGTCAACAACTACGAGCTGGACTTCGGTCAGATCATTACTATTAGGTGAGTACACGCACTCGTAGGTGTGCTAGTTTGCTTTGCCAAAAGCACAGCAGTCCCCAGTTTTTTCAGCCCCATGGACTAGCAGCAATGGCGGCGAGGGGAGGGGATGGTTTCGCATGTGCAACCTAATGCCGCACATGGGCAAATGAAGCTTCACACATTCACCCGCCACTTGCATGGGCTGGTTCCCAAGGGCCCATGGCCTGGTGGTGGGGAGTGAGGGCCTCTTGTTTAGCACATATTTGCCTCATGAGATTTTGGATATGTGGATAGTATCCTTCTGCATTTGTTTTACTTCCTTACGTCTGTTATCTTAAAATACAATTTTTAAAGCTTGCTGCATTTTACATCCGTAGTCAAATAACTTTTTGATGTGTAGCCTCATCCTTGAGCTAGACCAGCAAGGCCAAGCTTAATAATTCTGCAGAATTATTTCCCAGCTTGCAAACTGCGGACTTTAACGCAGGCTTCTCCAAACTGATGCCCTATAGGTGTTCTAGATTATAATTTCCACAGTCCTTTGGCCTGTGAAAGTCTTAATCTAGAACCATCTGGTGGACACCAATTTGGAGAAGAGGATGAACAAAAGCTGTGAGGCCAGCTTTTGAGGAGTCCCATAGCGAGGCACTATTTTACTTAGTCTCCTCCACTCTAACCAATGCCCTCTTCACCACAGCATTACCGCCACCGCAGCCAGTATCGGAGCTGCTGGCATTCCGCAAGCAGGCCTAGTGACCATGGTAATCGTGTTGACGTCTGTCGGATTGCCAACGGAGGACATCACTTTGATTATGGCTGTGGACTGGTTCCTGTAAGTCCCTGTGAGGGAGAAATGTTTAGGGCTAAGGGTGATGTTTGTGTTTAAGTCCACTTTAAATAGACATAGCCCACAAAGAGACCTCTTTTCTTCCTCCCCACCTCCATGTCATTGTAATGGAGATGGCAGGATTTCTCCTGCCCAACTATCATTGAAAAATGAGAGCACCCACATTCAGTGATGGAACACCTGCTCTGCCTGTAGAAATCACTGTATCCAGTCTCCAGCATCATCAGATCGGGCAGTGAGAAACCCTGGGGATCTGCTACCACTCTGTACCAATGATATTGAGTACAGGTACTCCCCATTTAGCAGTTGACCGGCACCTTGGTTATTAAGCGAAGCAGTCACTAAGTGAAACGGCAACTCTACTTACGGTATTACTTCAGCAGTCGTTAGACAGTCACTAAAAGAGAATTACCTGTAGCATTTCTGTATGCTTGGGGTAAAAAAGTAAGACAGATATAAAGAAAACCGGGGTGGCTATTAATTCAAAGGGCAATCAAGTAGATAGAAAGTAAAGATGGAGTCACAGTTCTATATTAAGTGTGGTAGTTAAAGACCAGGTCGTTCAGAAACCTAAACAGGGGGTCAAACTTGCAACGTCACGTGACGTGTTGCAACGTATCGCGACTTTTTCCTCATTGCCAGAGCTGGGATGGGTGTGGTTTCGGCATGATGCATCTGGCCCATAGGCCGGCGGTTTGACAGCCCTGCCTTAAATAGAAGACCATTATAGGAAACAAGAGGGCAGGCTAGTTCCATCTCTTGCTCTAACTTAGCAGAGCTGTTCTTATATTTGCAAGTAATATCCATGTGAGACTGAAGATAGACTTCTGTTGGCATTGAAAATGGCAGCCCTCTTCCAGGCAATGTTGGACTTGATAATTCTTCCTTCTTCTGCTTTCAGAGACCGTCTCAGAACCACCGTCAATGTGCTGGGGGATTCACTGGGTGCTGGTGTTGTAGCGCACTTGTCTCGCCATGAGCTGGAGATGCAGGATGCTGAGCTCAGCAATTCAGTCCTTGAAGAGAATGAAAAACCGTATCATCTAATATACCAAGAGAATGACACACACAAGCACCTCCACAGTGAGACACCAATGTGACTTGGAGGAGCGGAGTATTGTCGGGATAGGATCTGTAAAGTCTCACGACTGTGAAGCACTAGAGAAGCAAGAGCCAACCACAGTCCTCCCACAAACTCTCAGCTCCTTTGTTTTCCCTGTTCATGTCACCAGAAAAAAAGGATTTTTTTTAATAACGGTGATTGTACTCCTAGAATCAGGATTTGACAATAGAGTCCGACTTTGCCTTTCCTGCCTCTTAACCACATCTGGTAATATCCTCCACCAAGTCAATTCTACATTTCCTTGCCAAGAAGATAAACTTTGAACATACTGTGCTGTGCCGTAAAGACCAACTAATTTAAATCTTGTGCTACAATTGTAATGATTGTGCTCATTTTTGAAATTTTTTTAGCACTTGGAAAAAATGCAGCCAAATAAGATAGATAGATAGATAGATAGATAGATAGATAGATAGATAGATAGATAGATAGATAGATAGATAGATAGATAGATAGATAGATAGATGATGCTTTATTGGTATGGAAAATGTTTATTTATGAGGATCATTAAAGTGGAGAATTATGTACAGCTTATGTTTTTAAAAAAATATGTGCAACTTGTTGCTGCTTCATTCATTACGATTATTATATGTAACCCTTGTTTAGCGACTCTTTACAGTTTCGATGGTGATGAAAAACTAACTTTGTGATCAGTCCTCACATTTATGACCTTTGCAGGGGTCCTTTACTTTTGTAAAGCTGAAGTAAAGATTGTAAGCACAAAGGAAAATTGAAGTAAAGATCATAAGTACAGTATTTTGTTTAACGACTTGAGTTGCCAAGTCATTTAGTGACCCAATTGTGGTCACTAAATGAGGACTATTGGAACTATAGTATCATGGTAATGCTTATTTGCTTTTGTTTCCTTATTGGTTAATTGTTCAGAACACAGTGGCTTTGTTTATCAACCCAAGATGCATATAGCTCAGCATCTTAGTTTTTTACACCGGTAACTATTTTCAGAGACAAATAAGCAAGACAGCCTCTCTTCTGTAGCTGCTCATAGCATCAGGGCACACAGCCGCATCAGGGCACACAGCCTTGAATTGTGACTCTTAGCTGTTGATAGATTTCTGCTTTCCCAGTTGCCTCATATCCTTTGAAAGTCACTGAAGATAGGGTCCTGTTGCCTCTTATGTAAAGCTTGGGACGTGGATGACTCTGACTGATCTCCAGTGTGGCATAAGGACCAGTACAGTCATCCCAGAGCCACCACCCTCATGCTTTTTTATATATTGATATAAAAATCTCTATAATGTGTCAAAAAAGACTGTGGAATGCATCACGGTATGCCATCAAAATACAATTTACTGCAAACAGGTATTTGCAAAGCAGAGCTAAGAAACATTTCATTCACTTTGGCAACTTAGCTGGGAAATGTTTTATTAATCAGAAGAACAGTATTTGGGTTTATTATAGGGATTGATAGGAAATGTCTTTTCAAGATGAAATCCAAGACATAGCAAATCCAACACTCTGAATTCTCCTTTTTCTCTCTCTTTGCTAGGTAGAAGTTTCCTTTAACCTTTTCCTGGTTACTTCCCTTTTTTCATTGCATGACAAAGTCCTTCTTTCCCTCTCCTAGAGGTTTGCTTGTTGCATGCTTAATTGTTGCCCGGTCCTTGCCTTTGAAGCGCATTAGCCAGACCCATCTCTTCCCCTGGCCCTTCTTCCCTCTCCTAGATAGCTTCTACCCCAGTCTCCCATGCCGTCTTCTCTGGCCAAGTCTTGCTGGTAGCCTGAGGCTTTAAAAACGCTGCCATGAAGGACAAGAGTGGGAGGGGATTTCTTCAGACTAGTGGCTATTTGGCACATGATGCTGAAAGGAAGCTAAATGTTGCCAGATCTATTGGGTTGGGATGAGTCAAGTTAACAAGCTGGCTCTCTGCAGTGCTTCTCATGGCCAGCCTGTACCTCTGTGCTATACTTGTCAAGTATTATGGGCTGCAGAATGACTTGGAAAACAATATGCATCCATTGGATTGTGAATTTGAAACCTTTGTCCTGGGATATAGTAGTATGAAATAGCAAAATGTATACTGTGATCCTTGTGTTGGTGGGCACACTCCTGGTCCCTTCCCCCAAATTTTGCCATCTGATGGGAGCTACAAAGCATGCCTTTTCCATGGCAGCCTCTGCCTTATGAAACACTGCCCCTTGAAGTTTGGCAAGGCTTCTGTATTCATAAACTTCTGTAAAGCTTTTTTCCCCCCAAGTGCTGGGATCAGATTGAAAACTGCACATTAGAAGATTGTTGTTGTTTTTAATGTTTTAATGTGTTTAGGTTTATAGTTTTAATATAGTTTTATATGGTATTTAAACTTTGGGAGCTGCCCAGATTTGGTTGAAAGATGGGTAGCTATATAAATGTTTTAAATAAAATAAATTATTTAGGAAGTACTTTGTGGTCCTTTAGTATAGACGGACAGTATCCCAAGCAACGGTTTGCTTATTCATGATGAGGGCTAGACCACATTTAGCTGGATCCATCTACATTAAGACAAAATCCAAATTGACCATATGATGCTTTGGCACAATGGCTCCCAGGCTTATTGATAGATGACAGAATTCCACTTCTGAGACAATAGGCATGAGGAATGTTACAGTACTGTTATGCTATCTCTTATAACCTGTTGCTCCAGCTGTAAAAGCAAATACTGGCAATTATTCCATCACTCATAAAATAAATGAGGCAATATGGCAGCTTGGCAAGGACAGCAAAACAAGATTGTAGTTGTAGCCTTATAGGTCATGATTATCATGCTTTGCCCGGAGCAGTGGCAGCTATAACACCCCAAAGCAGAGTTCTTTATAAGGAACCAGGAATTTGCTAGCCACCACCAGTGGTGGAAGCTGAGCAGTTAATTGGTGATTCTGGGTAAAAATGGTCTTCAAGTCTGTTTTTCTGAATCAATTTCTTTCCTTCACTCCAAATTGACTTTTGAATATCTAATATTCCTTAACTTTCCCCTTGATACCTATGAATTCTCTTGGAGTATGGAAATTTGCTATATTCTTACTAGTCTTTATGCTTGATTGTTAGTCCTTTCCCGATATAACGATATATGTTTCCTATGCTTTTGCTTTTGTTCACCCCCACATATGAAAGTAAAAAGTTGTCACCTTCCAGTTAAACTCAACTTCTGGTAAAAATAATCTTTGCAGTTTCTTGGCATGATATGGAAATGATTTGCCACTATAAACCAGATAGTTTAATTTTCTTACTTCCCATTCTAGCAGATAGCCTGGGATGCCCATTAAACTGCTATTGTTCAACTCTACTGAGTTTTTTAGATCAGTCGAAATCAACTACCTCCTAATTGGGAAATTATGAGTGAGGCTACTGTCAAACAATCATAGGGACTCTTCGTTTTTCCCATTCATTGCTTCTAAAATATCATCTATCTTTAACCTCTGAGAAAAGAAGAAAAATCAGACAGCATATCATTGCCTAGAGTCGGCAAATAAATTTAATATCAACAATACTTGCAAAAGACGGCTTTATTCGGAATAGTTTACATTCTGCGACGATACTGTTAGACACAAAATAGTCACAAATTGAAATCCACTCTATTTGAAGTTGCAAATAGAAAAGAAGTTTATTAGACTTCACAACAAAGTCTAAAAAGTAATGGTTTGCAAAGCGTGCTGGATTCAGGAAGGCAGACAATGTAATGTAGCCTAACACTGAACCACACTCATGTTTCAGAATCACACATTATTATACATCCTATCATGATGCCCCATTCCCTCCCCCATAGCCCCATTGGCTTAGGCCAATGATGGCGAACCTTTTAGAGACCAAGTGCCCAAACTGCAACCCAAAACCCACATTTATCGCCAGGTGCCAGGTGGGTGTGGCCCACTGGGTGGGAGTGGCTGTGGGGGTCATGGCAGACTGGGTGTGGCCAAGGTGGGCGTGGTCACCTCGATGTTGCTCATGGGAAGGGACGCCTGTGGGGGCCGGGAAGGGTTGGGGGAGATACAGGGGGTGGTGGGCAGGAGGCTTGTCCTGCGAGGTAAGGCAAGGCAGGGTGGGGGTGCCATTGTCGCAGGGCAAGGCAAGGCAGGGGCTGGGGCGGCTGCTGCCTAACACTGTCAGCCCCTGCACAGAGGCCAACGAGCGCATGGGGGCCGACTGTCCGTCAGCAGCCACAGCCTGCCAGCCCCTCGACTGGCGCACTCTGGGGCTCCGCAGCCCACTGCCATCAGTTCAGAGAAGCTGCCTCTGAACTGGACGGCCAGCCGACAGCTGAGAAGGCAATGCAGTGGGTCATGCCCGGGAAAAGGAGAGCATGCGAGACTAGGAGGGATGGGATGGAGGGGAGAGAAACCAGCTGTGCTGGATGCATCCGGCCATGTGGGATCTCGGCGAGTTAGCGGGCAGCTGGTTGAAGAGGAACGGTTGCCATTTCGACATGGTGCGAGTGCTGACAGGGCTCTGAGTGCCGCCTCTGGCATGCATGCCATAGGTTTGCCACCACTGGCTTAGGCTTTGGAGGTTACAATCTATCAGAAGCGCCTAAACAGAATACATTATCTCCGCCCCTGTTTGCTTACATTATACTAATAAGATCCCTCCTCTCCTCTCCTGTTTATTAAGACTATATATGTACATGCCTATCAATCTTGGAAATAAGATGGGTCCACATACCTATCAATCTTGGAAATACCAGGCACCAAAAGGTACAGAAAAACAATTCCTAGATGATGACTCATACCAGACCCCTTAGTAACTCGTTTCCTTCTCCCCTCATTTGAGACTTGTAATTTTCCAATATACATAAAGCATCTACTCAGGCAATTGAGTATAAAATAATGATTATAAAATAACTAATCAATGATTACATGATACTACTAAAATATATTTTATTTTTATTTTTAACTGTCCTCACTACTTCGTTTTTTCCACAATATCAACATCCATCAAACATCCAGATCTGCCTATTCCAGGTCATTGGGGACGACTCCATAGCATAGGCGAACAAAAATGCCAAATCCAGTCTGAACATCTGACTGACTGCGACGAATCATTATCATAATTACTATAATAGCGATTTAAGTACATATCTGAATATTTTGAAATATAACTTGACAAACATTACATATCGATCACTGCTCGCTATTAATACGCTAAATATGTTAGTTATTAAGTAAATCTTTGTGCCATTAATACAAATGTGTAATTAAGTAGCTAGTTATTAAGGAAAATAAACATTGAAGTCATACATGTGTCCAAATTTACAACATAAACACAAGAGGAGGACTCAGAATCCAGGATTAAAAATGAATGGAAGACAATTCCTTACCGGAAGAGGAGGTTCACAAAGACTACTATTTCCGCCCGTCTTGCCATGTGCAAAAGAAGCCTTGCTGGTGCCGGGGACAGAGCGGTCTCGTGATGATGGCGTCATCGGTGCGCAGCAGTAAGATGGCAGCTGCAGCGGCGCGCTCGCTGCTACTTTTGCGACTCTCCAGTCGGACCTGGAGATGTCGGGATCGCGTTTACTCCTCGCCGGGGCTGAGGCGGCATTTCCCTTCTGCGCCTTCCGTGGCGGGACCTTGGACGGCATGGGCGCCATCAGGAGCGCCGCAACCGGAGGAGCAGCAGCGGCGGCTCTTTCTCTTGGGCGGACGTTCTTCCAGCGGCTATAGCAGCAGCAGCAGCAGCAACGGCGAAGACAACTTGGAGGGCTCTGAGGGCGACGGAGGCCTTCCTGGCTCCGGCGACAGCTCGGGCTCAGACTCTGGCGGCCCAACTGTAGTGACAGCGCTGGCCCCGCTCATGGTCCCTGAGCACGTCCCCCACGTGCCTCTTATACCTATCTCCAGGAACCCTGTCTTCCCGCGCTTCATCAAGATAATCGAGGTGATCCACGTCAATGATATTTTTCAGATAATGAAGAGAAATTGGGAGAAGAGGAAGAAATCGTTTTTTCCTGGGAGGGGCTCATATCTTGGGGAAGAGCTTTGCTTTGTACAAAAACCTTGGTTCACTCTCTGGTACAGGTAGTCCTCGACTTGCAACAGTTTGTTTAGCGACCATTCAAAGTTACAAGAGCACTGAAAAAAGTAATCTTTGATCATTTTCCACACTTACGACGTGCAGCATCGCCATGGTCACGTGATCAAAATTCAGATGCTTAACAACTTGATGGTTGCAGTGTCCCGGGATCATGTGATCACCTTTTGCAACCTTCTGACAAGCAAAGTCAATGGGGAAGCCAGATTCACTTAAACTTAAGAACTGCAGTTATTCACTTAACAACTGTGGCAGGAAAAGTCATACAATGGGGCAAAACTCACTTAACAGATGTCTCATTTAGCAACATAAAGCTTGGGCTCAATTGTCATAAGTTGAGAACTACCTGTATATCAAGATAGTAAGTCTGGAAAGGACCCTCTAAACAAGCTCCTGTCTTCCATTGGGGTGAAATGCACCTGTGAGCAGACTCATGATAAGGCGAGTTATAATGTCAGAGACATAGCTTAGCATTTAGTTTTGTTGCCTTGAGTGGCTTTTATAATTAGACAGTTGAAATAATTATGGTAATAATGTATGAAACAATGGCTCTGCATCTAGCGATTTCAGATTTAGCTCTATATATTTGAAATTGCAGAAGGATCCACTACTGGGAAGAGAACCAGTTTGGTATAGTGATTAGAAACTGGGAGACTTGAGTTCTAGTCCACATTAGATGCAAAGCCAACTGAATGACCCTGGTCCAGTCATATTCTCTTAGCTCTAGGAAGGAGGCAATGGCAAACCACTTCTGCAAACCTTGCCAAGAAAACTGCAGGGGGTGGTCTAGGCAGTTACCAGGAGTCAGCACTGACTCAGGTATAACAATAACAGTAATAAAGTAGTAGGTAAAGAGCCCCTCTTGCATGGATTGTTGCTTTCTAGTAAACCACAATGTTTAAATGGGAACATTTCTAATTCACACTCTAGGACAGGGGTCTTCAAACTTGGCCCTTTTATGACTTATGGACTTCAACTCCCAGAATTCCTCAGCCAAGCACTGTGGCTGAGGAATTCTGGGAGTTGAAGTCCACAAATCATAAAAACCTCTGCTCTAGGAACAAAGGCTTTGTTGTAGAATTTAGAGGAGCTGTTGCCATGACCAGTCTGTTTTAGCTTGTTTTAATCAGTGGTCTAGTATGAAACAGTAATTTTAAGCATACAATAGTATATAACCTGGTAATCTAGCACAGATTTTACATTAGAAGTGGACAAGCTTTTAGTGACTGATGGGTAAGTTTGCAAATGGGTAGGGTAGGTTTGGGAGATTTCTTAAAAACTGCACTATGCCTATTGTAAGGCTGGGGTTTTTTTTTATGTTTCCCACCTCAGGGTGGCAGAAGACTACTGTAATTTATTCTGACCAATAACCATA